TTCGAAAGGCGTTATGTTGCACGACACCTCCCAGAGCAGAGGAAGAGCTTCAGGCTCCATCAGGAAAGTCTTAGTGATGGAAAAGTCTTGCAAGCTCTGTTCCAGAAACGTGTCTTGGCTACCCTATGGCTCACATAAAAGGCAGTTTAGCTGTTTGTATACTTCACTCCTCTCACCAACAGGCATTTGTTTGCCAATGTGCAGTTATAAATGAAACACCTGAACTGGTCGAAACTGGCATATGCCCTTTAAATAGTTTAACAGCTGCCTGTGTCTCCATGGCTGTGTCTTTCAGAAGCATCTCCTGATGTCCAGCATGCAAATTGAGCAGAAACTGGGGGAAGAAGCTCTATTTCAATGGCTGCCTCTCCTACAACTTTCCACTTCCCAATCTTCCCTCCAACTCAAGGAATAATTGGAAATTTGGTGGTAGCCACCTTAAGCCCAAATAAGCTCTCAGGTGCTTCGCAGCAGGTTAAGTCCAGTACAAAGCATATCCTGACTTCAGAGACAAACTGCTCCCCACCCTACTTTGACTACTCACTGGAAACAGCTGAGGATTCAGATCTTTACCCTCTTTCACCATCACTTGTCTATGTAAAAAACTCACAGAGCCTGTACTGAAATAGGAAAAAAAAAAAAAAAAAAAGGATGTGGTTATGTCATTTAGTAAGAGTACTGCTAGGGTATGGTCTGTAGGCAAATGCTTTCATGCTCTATAGAACAACCTGGACTGAAGTAATGTGGCTGATCTGCTTGCTGGAGTTCAGGTAAAGTAATTCATATTTTAAATAATAATTAACTTTTTTTTTTCAAAAAGTTAATAGCAGCATTGACTGTAGAGAGCTATTTTTAAGGTAGTTGGGTGATTATTTCTTTCAAAGATCAAACAGTAAGATCAAATATTTAGTGTTGCTTAGCTTAGAGCAGAAAGATTTCTGCTTTAGTGATAACCATAAATAATACTGTTGCAATCAAAACACTTCCAATGAAATGATAAGAAATTATGCAGCTACAGATGAAATATATGGCAGATGTGGGACTTGGTGTTATTCATTGCACTAAACCACCTTAGTGCATCCACAAGAGAGTAATTTATACGAAAAGTGAATAATATTTTAGAAAAACAGATATAAACGAAGCCTGCTTCATAACAGTAACACTACTTGGTTTGTATTGATTAGGAGGGTAATTACAGTAAATGCTGTAAAGGTCCTTGCTGAAGCAGTGACCTGATTTTTTCTCATTCCTCTTTTGTAGTACAGCTAGATTAAGAATGATTGGTTTGCCACATTCTGTCTCTGATTATCGTCTCCTTACTATTAAAGCTACACCTACACTTACAGTAAGTTACAGATTTTATGATGAGGGTGTTCCTGCTCACGGACAAGAACCTGTGCTAACATACAGACTTGTGTGAGTCCCAACTAGCACCAGAGGAACTCAGATCTGAGTTACAAAAAGGAAACTGTTCAGGCATCCTGAACCCAAACCCTAATGAAGCTAGCACTGTAAAACCTCACTGTTCCATTTCCTAGGTCGCTACACCTTTGCTGCTAGCCCCTGATATCCACAAACACAATTAACATTTAAGTAGTCGAAAGGACGGGGAAAATCCTCACTCAGCAGGAGAAATCAAGAGCAACTGGTGCAGTGATGAGACTGGGTCCGCACCAGCAAAGACGCTCCCTCGAGCAGCGTTAGTTACGGGTTCATATGTTGTCTCTCGGCTTCTAGAAGTTGCCTGAAACAATCCTAGAGCTGCAGACGAGGAAACTCGTGGAGGACGGAGGAATTTTCTTCGTAAGGCTGGAAAAGAACAAACATGGCACCTGTCTTTTAAGAAGGTGGAAAATGCGGAGGTGGGAAATGGTTGATCCCTAGACCCAGCTCCAGTATCAGGAAAAATACTGGAATCGGCTACCAAAGAATCTGTTTGCCAGCACCCAGAAGACAACGCAGCCGTAAGTAAGAATCTGCACCGATTCATCTGCAAATGACTGAAATAGATGTAGTTTGACTTTCTTCTGTGACACACCAACAGATCTGGCAACAGGGTGTAGGAGGGGGAAACCAGCTTCAAGCACTATCTCTAAAGAAATTCTCACAAGCGAACAAAGGAAACATGATCTGTATGAAACTGCTATATGATTAGTAAGTACCAACTGAGATACTAATCAGTCTCTACCATACAGGAAAGATGTATTTTGTACACTTCAGTATCTTTCAGATTCAGCATTCTCGGTATTTTTATTAATAATTTGGACAATGCAGTAAAGATGATGCCTATGAGATGACTGCAAAGGTTATTCTTTGATGAAAATGAATCTTCAAGTTCTTGGGGGAAACATATTACTCTGTGAACTGTTGGCAAACAACTCGCTCGGATTACTCAAGATGTGAAATTTAAATTTGAGGGGAGGCAAAATGATAAAAATATTAAGTTCTTGAGAATCTGGCACTCCATTTCAGTACTTGCAATTGCCAGTTTAAAGGCTGGCTAACATTTTCTTGAAACTAACCATTTTCAAGTGTAATGCTATATATAACTTTGTACTAATGAATTCTAAAAAAAAAGCATCCAGTGAAATAGAAACCTAGTAAAAGTAGAATCAAAACTCATGCCTTTAAGAGACATGGCCAGCAATGTTCTTATACATTTCTATAGCACACACTGAGCTGCATTTACAGGTGTTGTCACTCCTCCAAAATGTCTAATGTCATCTGATTTTTCTCCAGCTAAATGGAAGCTCTTGGTCACAGGACACACATGCTCAGACAACATTCCTTTTTCCTTTTACCTGCCCTCAGGTGACAGCAGCCCCTGCCTACAATAATTCCTTGTACACATTGGCACCAATGCATCTCCACTTTTAGTGGAATTCTCTCACCTCTCCTCTACCAACCACAATCACATGATTTTCTAAGCAGCTGCCACACATTTCTTGGCTCCAAGGGATTGACTCAATCTCAGGTTGACCGACAAACCAAAGTTTTCTTTTTGTTCTCATTTCTGGCAGATACAACCACCGATAGCGATCAGGTTTCCTTTCGCTGCTTCCTAAATTCACAAAGCCGTGACCAGTCCTGCTCAGGCAGCTCAGTCTGGAAGGGGAAATCGGATCCAGCCCCCGACCAACAGCACCTCCCTGCAGGTCACACTTGCTCCTACAACGGGGACACCGGGGAAACGCTGCCAAGGAGTAGCCTTGGTGAATTTGTGCATCCTCCAAGTAAGCCACATCCAGCCTGTCTGTCGTCCTCACCAGCTTTCTTGCAAGCATGTCCTCACCTACTTAACAGCCCTCATTCTAAACCCCATTTTTCTAGTGCTATTTAGTTATTTCTAGCACACTTCACCAAAATGCAAGTGCCTTCGATCTTCAGCCTTTCCCTTATCTGAAAAAGCAGACAATTCATCAAAGAATGTAGTGGTCTCTCAGGATCTGTCAAAGCCTTGTTTAGAAGTTTTCCTTAAAAATCTGTACAAAGCTTTGATTACAGTTACAGAATTGCTTTAATCACATTTGGCACTCAAAACTCAAAAGACTGATCTTTTTCCAGATACACTAATAACATACATACTTCATAACGACTACTGAGTTGGACCTTCAGCTTTATGTGCCTCTTCTTTCCGTAGTCTGAGCTGGAAATAGATTGTTTTCCCTGATATAAGCTCTGACTGCATCCTGTGTTCAGATACAGTTGTTTCTATTATCTCTGACTGATTCTCATAACTCAGCCCACCTCTGGCATCCAGCACAATATCAGCATCCCTGTAAAAAACAGAGGTGTAAGATTTGGTAAAGCCCAAGGCCGTCTCCTAAGTCAGTATTTAGCAGATATATTTGTTCTCCACGTCTCTCTCTTTTTAAAAAAATATATTATTTTAGCCATG